TTTTTTAATTCTTTCATCTCTATTTTTTTAAAAAAATTCTTTTATTTATTTATTCATCGAACGTGTAAAAAATATTTTTGATAAAATTAAAATGCCATTAAACAAGTATAAGGATAGATATATGCTGAAGATGAGAGCGAAGTGTTACTTGAGACTTGGGAGATAAGGTACCTAAGTCCTAAGATATAGCACAACCTAGTGTTCCTATTTTCTACTATAACCTGGGGCATATTCATATTCAGGACCATTCTATCCCAAGGATTCCAACTGCATTTTCCATGGGAGCAGGTTGCTCAATGAATGATACTTTGCAACGAGCTCTTATCTTATAAATGTAAGAAACAGTTTATGAAATTGTATTTCTTAAATTCAAGTTTCATTTTCATGGTGCGTGGATTTGACCTAATTCTTATTTGTAACATTGGTTTCTTAATTAATTTAATTTGTTTATTGATATTGATTTCTTATATATACTAAATATAATTGTTAGTCTCGAATATTAAAAAGCTTTGGATTTAATGATCTTACGTTTCTTAATTTATTACTTATCTCTAGATAAGGCAAACCCTTATTTATTTTTTTTAAATTTTTTTGTGGTTTATTTGATAGTGTAATGAAAGGAACTCTCATGCGAAACAATTGCATTTTATGATTAAACTTTTAAAATTTCATTCACATTGTGTCACATTGCTAAACGAACCTTAATGCATTAAAATTTTTTTAAAAAGTATTACTAGTAAAAGTTGACTAAAAGAAAATAATTTACCAATAGAAGGGTATGTTTTCTTTTTCTGTTATCAAAGATACAATTTTAGAAAAATGTTGAAGTTTTGAACTTAATTCTTTTGATTGAAGTATATAAACATAGTAACATACATTTATGGGAGGGTTAAATACCCAATTATTGGTAAACATGTTTAAAACAAAACAAAGGGAGAAAAGTAAGGAAATTAAAAGCCTATTCTATCGTAACATGCTATTCTGATCACCATCCCAATAAAAGCTGAACCTGCTAAAACCATGTGTGATGTCCAATATTAATTTGATCGATTGATGCAAAGGTCTGTAGAATTCTGTAGGAGATACGTGTATTGAGCCCCAATCTATCTGCCATTTAGATTGTTTGGCACATGTCTTGCCTACTAATTAGCTTGTCTTGCCGACCAACATTAATTTTCTTGTACATTTAAAAAAAAAAAAAACTATAAAACATGTTGCTGCAAACCATTCAATCTTTGCCAATTCCAGCTATATATCTAGTTGATTAGGCAATTTATTTTCCACTAGTCGTGAGACCACGAGCGAAAATAGTCTAGCACTAAAGAGTTGAACTTGCTCATGTCTTGGAAAGTTCAATATTTGCAGTCATGATTGTTAGATTGTTGCCTCTTCCTTTCATCATTTCTCTCAATTGATGTGAAATTGATGAAAAAATGATACATTTAGATTATTCAAGCAACCATTATGGTTTATTTGCTCTTAAGCCTTTTTATTTTACTTTTTAAAAATGAAAAAAAAAAAAGAGTGGACCACTTTAAAAAAGTGAAATAAAAAACATCCATCGAATAATCATAAGAAATGATAACTAAAAATGACACAAAATAAAAATAATATAGTTTAAAATTTTAATAAAAATTATAAATAAATTTAATAAAATAAAAAAATACATTTTATATTTTAATATCGATACAACCTATAACATATAATTTTCATTAAAATATAATATAAATACTTAAATTATTAATATTTTGTACTATACAAATATATAAATTATCATATCTATTAAATATCTTCATATTTTAAAAAAAATACTATATACACTGTTTCTCCCATTGAAGAAGGCATTTGAAAACCATTGCTTCAAATTTTGAGGTCAAAAAGAGAAACCCAATTCAATTGAATTGATTTAAGTAGGGTCTAAAACACTAATACAACATTTTTTAAAAGATAAAAAGTTTTTGAGTTTTATGTTGAAATATTTTTTGATTCAAATAAATTTATTTTTATTAAATTTAATAAATTTATAAAAATTATCTTTTCATAATTTTTTAATAAATTCAAATTCAAATAACAAAAAAAAATTCTCTTTCAGTTCAACCGGCATCCTATGCCAAGATAATATTTTTAATTAAAACACGTAATAAAGAGGTTAGCTTAATTTAAACCAGACAAATGTGCTAGAGAATATAATAATGTTATTCTATAAATACGAAAGTTTGTCTTCTTCCAGTAATGGGTACTTGAAATGAAATCTTGAATATATGCTAGCTTTTTCAAAGGCCTGAGAGAACGGTCTCAGTGAGGAGGGGAACGGTGGCAGCCTTTTTGACAGGGATGCCAAAAGTTGTGTATCTTTCTGAGTTCCGGCTCAAATTTGTAGGCTATTTTAAGAGAGTGAGTGAGAGCTGCCTTTAATATTTTTTGCCAGTTTGCCACACTGTGTTTAGCCTTTGACATAGCCTGTGGGCTGAGAGGGAGAGGGAGAGGGAGAGGGAAGAGCCATCATTGCTAAAGAGCAAAGGCTAGCTATGCTACTCACTGCACATGGGCCACCAAGATGCTTAAAGAAGTGTCACAGGTCATAACACACCCTATCTCTTATCTCTCAAGGCCAGGCACTGGCTCATATATCTCCCAAAATCCCGTAGTTAATCGTTTAAATTTTATTCTCATATAAAATGAGAAAAAAATAAAAAGAAAAGAAATAAAAAAGATTAATGTGTTACAAAAGGTTTCCTTTATAAAACTTCTCCCAAAATCCTTTAAATGTTTCATTATTACTATTATTATTTGATGATACTGATCTTATGTTTCTACTTAGTTGAGCAAGAAAAAAAGATTCAAAAAATTTTGAAACCCACACCTCCATCCTCCCTCATCATTCAAATTTTAAACCAAAGGTGAAAGTTTGTATTATTGAAGTGAAAAAGATCATGATCTATCAATCAATGACATGAAAAAAGATTACCCGCTTTTTAGATATATCACCGTTTCGTATGCAAAGATATTACCACACACTTTGTGACATGGATAAACAGTTTTCCGATGGAATTGCGTTTCGTACAAAAAACTTTTTTTTTTTTTTGAAAGTTGGGGATGAAACTTTTTTCTGCTTTTCTTTTTTAAGAATTTGCATGTGTCAAAGACTCAAAGTTATTATAATCTCTTCGTGGGAAACCATGTCTTTTAGTATATCATCATGCCAGCGTTGGGCAAAAGGGGCATATTAAACTCATTGGTCCAAAAATATATAGATCAACATAAGAAGAAAACAGCTTGTGCTTATAATTAATTCATAGAATGCAAATAATTCGAGAAAAAAAATGAAAAATACTATTCTTCTTTTGTTTCGCCAATTAATTTGAAGCTAAATGGCAAGGGTATAGCTGGGTCAACTAATTTCACACATACTTTTTTATTTCAAAAACATGAAACATGCTCACCTATAATTTTCTTTTGCATATTATGAGATTTGGGATATTAACATGAATCCCTAAACCATATACACATTCACATCTTGCATAAGAGAAGCATGTACTTTATTTATTTATTTACTTCCAAGACCTTATATCTATGATATCACTTGTAACTCTATAGATAAATTGCAACAACAATAATTAGTTAATTCTGTCATTTGAATGATAAATGAAAAGAGATTCATTTCTCCCTGTATTATCACCTTGTTTTGTGATTAATACTTTTCATAAGTAAAATGCAGTAGTAGCGCAGCTAGCTAGGTCACATTTTGAGCACAGTTGCTGAATTTGATATGAGGCATTGAGACTAACATTAGTGGTTTTTTTTTCTTTTAAAAATACTAAAGCACAGTCCAACGCGTTCCTTCTTGTCCTAGCTAGCCAAACCTAATCAATATTATATATATATATATATATATATATATGATTTTGAAATCTCTAACCGTATGATGTGCTCGATCCTGGGATTATGAGAAAACTTATCTATGAAAAGTACTGTGGCTCCTTCAAAAGAATAAATAAAAGACAAAAGGAGCATGAAGATCATGGACCTAGTTTCTATCTTTTCAGTTTTTCATACCATATATGTTAGTTATGTAGTTATTTGATAATTAAAAATATGATTTAATAATATAATATATATAAAAGTGAAAGGAATTAAAATTTAATAAAAATTATATAATAATTTAATATAAATTAAAAAATATATTTTATGTTTAATTTTTATATGAATATGAATTATAATATAAAATTTTTATGTAAAACACAAAACACACATATCACTAATATCTTAGATGACATGAATAAACATATTCTAGTCAATAAAAATTATGTCCCATCCTAATAGCAGAAAAAAAAATCCGCTGACCATCACACAGGAAAATAATTAGCTAGTTTGCAACTTGATTTTCTCTTCTTGTCTAACCTTGAATCCACCATTAAACTATATATTCAGAGGATTAAACACGTTTAAAAGAAATGAAAACACTGAATTATGTACACTTTTTTTGGGGGTAAGAAAAACAGCAACGTACATTTATTTTTCTTAAAACTGAAAACTAATCGATTCAACTTAGCTCAAGCAAGAAGGATTGAAATAAAGATTTTGGATTGAAACAATAAATTCTTCTCCCTCTCCCAATAGCGTAAGACAAAACCGAATAAGAGAGAAAATCATAATTGTACCTCAAATACCAATAAAAAGGTTCTTTTGTCCAAAACGTACAACCATGATTTTACGTGCCAAACGAGCCAAATGCTAAAGATATGGGTCCTATGCAGTAATTGGAATTCATACAGTTCCTAAAATATTATAAAAAAAATTAAAATATAAATCCAAAACTTAATTTAATTATTCATACAAATATTTTTAAAAAATAATATTTAATAAATTTAAATTTTAAAACTAAATATTTATAAATTTTTTTTATATTTAGAATGCAACCTTTATTATAAAAAATATTAAAAATTTTGTTTAAATCGGGTGTCTGATTATATGGTCTTACATCTATCTATATACATATATCTACATTATAATAAAAGAGTCAGAAAAAACCAATCACCAAATTATAAAAGGAAAAATGTATTTATTTATATATTAATGAAGCACAAACTCACACAGGAAAGAGGTATTTGAAGTCCATTTAAAAAAGATATTGCGGCGGCTTACGATTCCCCAAATCTCGCCACCAATCACTCCCAGGCATCATACAAAATTTTAAACAAAAATAAAATAAAATAATTTCAAAAACAATTCTTTTTTTTTTCTTTTTAATTCAGATTTAGATAATGATACAAAGAAAGCAGACAAAAATCCAGGCCGTTTGCTTTCTTACAGTAAATTCTTGGGATTTTGTGATCGTCTCCCCTGCAAAATCTTGTTTTAGATAACATAAAAATTCACATAGCCAAAAAAGAAAAAAAAGTACCAGAAAAGAACATAGATTTTCATGGTCTCTGTTATCTGATTTTACATTCACATTCTGATCATTGAAATAGTCACAACCCAGATTTTTTTTTGTCAAAACCCAGATTGAAAATATCTAAAAAGAACAAAAACAAAAAAGAAATTTCTCCAAACAAAAGAGAAGAAACACTCAATATTTTAACGACAACCACTGCTTTTTCTTTTTTTTTTTTTAATACTGAGACGATAACGTTGAAAAAGGCCATGATCGTCTATGCATGACCAACATGATAACACTATGAGAAAATGTGAAATCGAGAGGCCACTATTATTCACAATATAATTAAATTAAAAGCCAAAAAAAAAAAAAGACAACAAGGAAAAAACAGTGTTTCCAATTAAGTCGAAAGTCATGGTTAATAAGGGAGAGGACAAGAAAGATTCCATCTCTTTCATGCATCATGTGATGTACTCACAGTCATTTCCTTGATATTCTTAATTTGTTCAGATTTTCTCATTTTCGAAAATTTTTTTTTTTGTTTTTCTTAGAGGAAAATATTTAGATGCTTCTAATCTGAGGAACATATCCATGATTCCACCATACCTTCACTTCTTGTAGCCATATTTTCTGGCCCTTTATCGCCATGAAAATCGGATGAAGAAGCGGAGAAGTTGCTCATTTTCCCATTTGAGACTCTCTGGTTGTTACTATTGTAGCTGCCATTGATGGACCTTAGGAGACTTTGATCACGTTCTTGGGACACCGTTCCTTCTCCCCAGCTCGGAGGATTAGTACTATTTTCGTTTCTGGGCAATGCCCCATTCGATGATACCATGTTTTGAAGACTGCTGAGGTTGGTATTGACGTGGCCCTGGCTCAAACCAAACTCTTCTAAAACACCCATTTTGAGAGAAGAGTCAATATTTGGTGGAATATCTAAGGACCCTCGTGGCTTTGTTCCGAGAATGGTTGAATTGGGAAGTGCGTACTTTGCAGGGGCTTCAAGGAGAGATTGGAAGCTGAGAATTGGGTTTTGCATGTTGACGTTGAGTAGATTTTGAGGCTGCTTTAAAAGGCCTAACTCGGATGGTCGTTGGTAGTTAATGGAAGTTGAACTAGAACTAGTGTTGTTGTCACTAGCAGAAGCAGAAGTGATTTTAGTACTAGGAGTAGAAGCTATAGCATCAATCATTAAGGAGGAAGTAGTAGAAGAGGAAGCAATTGGTGGAGGGTGGAATTTTTGGGCAAATGGTCGTAGAAGATAATGAGGAGGTGAAGGGTCTAAATAGGTTGATCCAATACTGGAAGGTGTACCAAATAGATCAAGCCTGGTTCTTGGGAAAGACGAGGACGTGAAGGGTGGTGCAGGGATCCCAGTGAACTCCTGAACCATGGCTCGGAAATTGGAGGTATCTGTGGTCAAAACAGTTGTTGGTGCACGCCTAGAAGCTCTGGATCTCTTCTTCGGGTTACGCACCATATTGTTGTTGTTGGGTTGGTCACTTGTGCCTGAAACTGAACTTTTGGTAGCAATTTCTGGTCCTTCAGGGATCTGCATAGAAGGAAAACTGTCTCTGCTTTGTGCTTGATGGTTAGTCAACAACTGTTGGGTTGGTGATGATGAGGCCATGAACCCACCCAGATCAGTGCAATTGGGCTCAGATCCTAGATTTTTGGACCAAACCCCATCAAGATTGAGGAGAGAATTTGGGTTTGTTGTAAGTTGCGGTGATCTTGCTAAAGGATGAGCATAGTAGTTTGATAAAGGGTCAAACATAGCCGATGAAGAGTGGCTCTGGTGTTGCTGTTGCGGCAGCAGCGGTGGTGGTTGGTTACCCAAGGGACCATGACTGATATGGCTCGATGGGTTATAGTTCAAAAAAGCTGAGATTGAGTCAGCGCGTGAATTATACTCTTCACTGCCACCACTCGAAGATTGCATACTACCACTGTTACCAGAATCCATGAGACTGACAGACAAGAGATAGCAAAAAAAAAAAGGAAAGATGTAAAGGGAGACAGAAATATGGGGTGTTTCAGAGAAGAGATTTTTTGCTTACTTTATTACTCAGACTCATTTAAGAATGAACAACAAAACAAAGCATGAGGTATTATCAAAGAGAGAGAGAAGAAAGAGGAAGATCTTCTGGAAGAAGGCTATCAGAAAGTACCCATGTTGTCTTTAAAGCTGTGATCTACAAAGAAACGGTGGTTTGCCTGCTTTTACTTTGTCTTTGAACAAAAGGGTATGTGTAAAGAAAGGAATTAACAGCTCAGGGATCATCGAACTAAACTGGTTGAAGAAGAGAGGTAAACCCAAAGTAAACTTTGTTTGGGAAGGAAGGGGACTTTGTCAATCTTTTTCCCCCTTTCTTTTAGCTTTTTATGAGAGGAGAGAAGATGATTCTCTAAGCCTTTTCCTCTCAAAAAGAGAGGGCCGCTTCTGTTAATCTGCCGCTTGTGGTTTCACTCAAAAGATCAGATCATGGGATCATGGGTGGGGCACCCATGTATGCGTTAGAGAGAGAAAGGCTGTGATGAAGAGCAACTGGTCAAAGTATAACAGAGTTGTGGTTTTGATTCGTATAGTGTGAAAAGATGAAAAAAATAATGGGAGGCATTCTTTAAAATATTTTCCCATTAAATATGTTATTTTAATATAAGCTAAATGCTTAAACTGAGTTTTAATATTTGAATCAATTTTCAATTAAAGATATAATGATTAATTTTATTTAAATTAAAATTAAAATATTTTTGAATATACTCAAATCGGTATCTTTAACAAAATTAATATACACTAATTGTTAACTATTTTATTTGTAACAGGTGGCAAAAAAATATAATAAGTACTTACTCATAAATTATTAAAAAATTTAAAGAAAAATTTAGGTAGTATTTGATTTAAAAAAAAAGAGTAATTTTTTGTTTTTATTTTTTTAAAATAAAAAATATAAGTGGATACATATTTAATAATTGAAAATGAAAATAAATTTTTAAAAAATAAAAATAAAAATAGATTGACATATGAAAAAAAAATATTTTCAATTATGAATATGATGGATATACATTACTTTTTCTTTGTTTTTTACTAATTACTATATTTAAACACTTTTAATGTCATTAATTAATAAATATATATTATATTTATAATTAGATGTCATTAATAATAATACCATTGAATATTTTATTTATTTATTTATTTTATATTTTAAAAAGTAATTTTTATTTTTGTTTATTAAATACATTTTGTAGAAAACAAAAAAAATAAAAAATAAAAAAATTTTCAAACCTAACAAAACCCTTATATCTTTCATTTTCTTTTTTATATTCTCTTTCTAACATTTCATTCCTATCATAATTTTTTTCAAGTTTTTCAAATCCTCATAATATGTTTCTTTTGTGATTTATTCCTTTTTTTTCATATACAAAGAAATCCATTTTCTTCTCATTTCATTATTTTTTTTCAATTCTCTATCTTCAATGATGCTTGCTTAATTCCTCACTCTATTTTTATTAATAAAGGAATTTCTTTTGGGCTTTGCAAGATTTTAGAAGAAGTGAGAGGTTGAAAAAACTACTTATGGTTCACTTTAGAGGATTTGGCTTTCATTGAAAAATAAACTAGAGTTAGTAAGGATGCTAAAGCTTTTGTTTCAAAATATTTGCTTCATTTGTCAATGGGTTTTTTCATTTTTTTTAGGCTTTTTTTTTTCTATTTTAGGGTTTTTCTTTCATTGTTTTTTTATTTTATTTTATTTCTTAGGTATATCAGTAATTGTTGTATTAACCATTTTTGATAGAGGAAGAAAATTGAAAGAGAAATGGTTTCTTAAAATATAGTCCTAATGTGAGTCGGTTATTACTATTATAAACAATTTTGAAATTTTATTTTTATTATTAAGCTTGCATGTGAATGGCTAATAAAGGCTAAACTTTAATATGTCAGACAAATGCCATAAAGGGGTAATATGATAATTACATGTGGATGTTTGTTACAGACATTACAAAATGAAGAATCATGAATGTGAGGATTATCCTTGTATTTTGTGAAATACTATTTCTTTCTCCCTTAGATTACTTCCCCTTCATTTAGTAGTTTATTCTTTTATTGCTTTTACCATCTTTTTAAAAACATTTATTTCTTAAACGATCCACATCATTGGTATTAAACCCTTTATCTTGGCATTATGATATCCATTGTGGATGGCGTCACAATATGACTTCAAAAAGATCTTAGCCACACATAGTAGGTTATGGCAAAAATACAAGGTGATTTCCAATAGATTGAGAGAATTATTGACTTTCAACCACACGCAGTAGATTGTGGCAAAAATAAAATGTGATTTTCAACAAATTGAGAGAATTATCAAAGAAAAGTTTGCTAGTTTTAAAGTGGAGATGCAAGATGAGTTTAGGAAAACTTTTTTGGAGATATTTATGTAAAAAGAAGCAAATAACCCTATTGTTGACTCTCTTTGCATTCGAAAGTGTACCCCTTCATTATTTAGAAACATTTCTAACCCTAACCAAAGCTCGTAACTGTAAGTACACTCCACAATGATTAATTCTGTAAGATTAAGTCTAGAGCTTTCAAGGATGTTCAGATTAGAGTGTCCCAAATTCAATGGGGATGACTTCAAGGGCTGGTATCTTAAGTTAGAGTAATATTTTGAGGCTAAATGTGTATATTTAAATTCAAGGGTGAGGGTGGTTATGTTGAGTTTGAAAAGCAAGGCTCTCCAATAGCATCAGTATTATACAATGTCTTAAAAAGGTTTTGATAATCTCAACTAGACAACCTATTTGGCCAACATGAAGAAAAGTTTACCTTTAAAGAGTTTAAGGACCTGATGGTAAAGCTGGTGGAGCTGAGACAATTGGATTCAATGGATCAATACTATTAAACTTCATAGATATCTTGAATCTTTTGTAATTAGGTGTGCATGTGCTCTGAGTACTTTTGTTAGTAATCTAAAGTATGATATTTTAAGATATGTTAAGTTATTTAGACCCTTTAACTTGAACCAAGCCTTGCACTTAGCCAAATAAATATAATCTATCTTATACCCTAATATTAAAAAATTGCACTTACAATAGACCGTTCATATCCATAGCTTTTAATTCTTCAAATAACAACTTTATTAAAAATCAAACACTACTGCTTTTACTATCTACCTTTAAAGCACCACCTAACCAATATATGTTAAGTTTCAACCAGCCTAAAACACAGTCATTCCCAAATTCACCTAAGAAGCCTTGTTACACCAAAAACCAATCATAACCTTGGCCAGAAAACCAACACCAGTTAAGATGAAGGAAAAAAAAGGATTATGTTATTGGCACGGTGCAAAATATAACATGGGGCACAAGCGTATGAAGTTCCAATTGTATTAGATTTTAATTGAAAATGTGGAAAAAAAAAGCCCTAAATTGAAATTTAACTAAAAAAATGATTAAAGAAATGTTGGATGCTAGAGTGATAATGAATAGCTGTAGTTACTTTGCTTTTTCCATTGTCATGGTAAAAAAAAAATTGGCTCTTGAAAGATGTGTGTTGATTATAAACAGCTCAATCAATTAACAATTAAAGAGAAAATTACTAGACGAGCTAGCTGAGGCAAGTGTGTTCTCTAAACTAGATTTAAGATCAGGGTATCATCAAATCAAAATGCATGAATCATATATGCATAAAATAGCCTTTTGGACTTATGAAGGCCATTATGAATTCCTCATAACATCATTTAGGTTAACCAATACACCTTTAACCTTCTAGAACTTAATGAATAACATATTCAAAGCTTACTTGTGAAAGTTTGTGCTAGTCTTTTTTAATGATATCTTGATTTGCTCAGTATAATAGGACACTATTTAAAACATCTAAATTAGTTTTTAATCTCCTAGCAACCCATCAACTTTTCTTAAAAAGGAGCAAATGCCATTTTAGTGCTTGAAAAGATGGAGTACTTGGGTCATATCATATCTAGAAATGATGTATCCATGGACAAACAGAAGGATCAATGTATTTTGGATTAGCCTCAACCAAGGTCACTTAAGGAGTGATGGTTTTTTGGGATTCACATGCTAATATAGGAGGTTCATCTAGGGAAATAGGATAATTATAATGCCATTGACTGTACTTTTGAAGAAAGATGCAATGAGCTGGAAATAGAGAAACACAGTAGCTTGCATTTGATAATCTTAAGACTACCATTACCATAGCCCTAATGCTAGCTTTTCCTAACTTTTTCTTGGATTTTATGATTAAAACTAATGTATCAGGACAGGCGTAGAGGCTATTTTGACATAAACGAGGCAACCTTTGGCCTATTTTAATAAGGCCTTATCTCCAAAACATCAGGACTTATCAGTGTATGATAAGGAGATGCTACCTATTCTAATAGCTGTAACTTTCTTGAAGTTGATTGTCTTGATGGTCCCAGTCCCCTTGTGCACCTTCAGGTCGAGTCTCTGGGCTCTATCACTTGAAATAAACAAATGTTAGGCATTTGTGTCCACCAATACACTCATTTTTTACCCGCAACCATCAGATCTGCTTACTCGATCCTTTTGGCTTGCAGCTTCTTTTACATTGGATAGCATTGAGCATAATCGAGCCAAGCTTTACAGCCTCCTTTTCTAGCTGCTCATCGACCCTTTGTCTATGGTAGCCATCTTACCTTTTTTGGGCAGTCTTATGCTATATGCAGCCCATCACAAAAGTAATAAGAGATCGGCTCTCGATCTCTCTTAGCCTTCCACTTTTCTGCTTGTGGCTTGCCTTGGCCGTCTTTGTTCAAACGGTCTCGATCTCCCTTTTTGGATTGTCGATCACAATCGTTTCCTTTGGACTATTGTTCTCGATCCCTTTTTACCCTTGCCCTTCCCCTTAAGTTTGGAAGACTCGAACTTGTTCTATGGCCTAACCTCCACCAAGAACTCAGTGGTATAAAACATTTATTTCTCGAATGACCCACATAATCCTCTTTCACATTTTTTTTCAATCTCATTTGGTAATTTTATGCTTTAATGAGATTTTTTGAAAGTTTATTTTTATTTTTAATAAAATAATAAAATTTTTTTGAACTTTATCACTTTATTTAAATAGATTCTTTTACTTTTATTACACTTAAATAAGTCATCAACCTTGAATTTTAATACAAATAAGCTTTTAACCTTTAATTTAAATCCAAATAAGCCTTTAATATTTTATGTGTACCTAAATAAGCCTTTAACATAAATCAATTTTTTGATTTGAAGTTAGGGCTTATATATATGAATACAAATGGAAGGCTAATGGCTTATTTGGATGCAATAAAAATTTAAAAATTTATTTAAATAAAGTTGCATAGCTTAAGGGTTAGCCATTTTTTATTTTTTGAATTTTATTTGTGTTGATTTTGTGCTAAATTTTGGATTTATTTGTTGTTGATTGAGTATCAAAAGTTGTTATTTTTGTGAGGTATACATTTCGGGAAAATTGGATTTTGATATTTGGTAATAGTCTGATATTTGGTAATAGT